TATCTAAAAAAAAAAAAAAAAAAAAAAAAAAACGCCATCAATCTTGTTAAAGTTTTAACCATATTCGTCGGAAGTTAAAAAAAAAAAAATTCTTCGTTGATACATTCTAAATAAAGGCAGTGCGTCTACTTTCCCGCACAACACTCGGAGAGCCAATCACCGCAACTTACGGAGACAGCTCAGTGAATGGTGTTGCAGAAACATATGTTTAGACCAAAAAACGCGGTCTGGGTTGTGACATTAAGGAATGCAAGCGTGACGTTTTGCATTGCTTAATAATGTCACAACTCAGACCGCGTTTTTTGGTCTAAACACATGTTTCGGCATAGTCAGTCGCTGCGCTGTCTCCGTAAGTTGCGCTGATTGACTCTCCGAGTGTTGTGCGGGAAAGTAGACTCACGGGCTTTCTTTAGAGTGTAGGTTTTAGACAAGTTCGTAAATTCTTTGAGCACGTGTTGTCAGTGAGGCATTAATCTTTCAGGGCTACATTTTTTTTATATTGAGCATGACAACAACGACGGACCACTTCAATATCTAGTCGGTGGCTAATGCCTAGTAACCACCGACTAAATAAGCGATTAATTTCACAGTCCTAGTGAAAACGGGTCTTGTGTTTCATCCCCTGGTGGGTGTGATTCACAAAACCTCTTCCTTGTGTCGGATGGGACGGTCGGCGTCTCCGGGTTCCAATTATTTCGATCGACGCGCCTCTTCCAAAACACGAACATGAAATCGGCTTTATTTGTTTCAAAATCGCCCAAATTGTCCCAGGGGTTTTCTTGGCACGGGAATTCAGACTGTCGTGCTATTTGCCGTCGGTTGTAATAGAGTGGTACGTCGTATATGACTTCGGAGACTGGTATCTATGCAATATTAGGGAGTTTTAGTAGATCGTGTTCACTTTCCGCTCCGAGCCTGGCAAACTGGGCCTGCGCTCAAACTCAGAGCGGTCGCGCGTGCGCAGCGGCCATTGTGCCGCTCCGTAGAACGGAGAGGGCGTACGAAAGCGGTCTGCTAAAACGCGCTCATTTTCAACGCAAAGTTTGACTGAAGTTGGACTGTTACGCGCATGAGCCTAAATTTAGACCGAGCGGACCCCCCCTGCCAACGGAGGGGCCAGAACAGACTTATGAAAAGATTATGCGTGTGCTTTTATATCGCGTAAATATCGGTAATGAGTTCCTAATATGTAAGATAAACTATCGTATAAATCTCTCCGACGCCTCCCCCCCCCCCCCCCCCCCCCCCCCCTTGGGGCCAAAAAAATATTGATATTTTTCTGTAGAAGTCGGGCAACACTGCTAAAAAGTCGACCATCAATTTTTTTTTTTTTTTTTTTTTTTTTTAATTTAAAGGTGTAGCGTACCAATTTAACCGTTCAGGTACGACAAGAGGGAGTTTTCGTAGACCGCGTTCCCTCCTCCGCTAAGCCCTCCGCAACGAAGAAGTTGCTACTGCGGCTGCGCGCCGATAGCTTTGACTGTAGAGTTTCGGGTATCGTACAGCGGGTGGCGGAGGGCGTTGCGGGACGGCGAAAACCATCTAGGAAAACTCCCTAAGTTCGCGACATACTGGGAGCCCGTGTGGTCCGCCAGAATTCTTCTCTGCCCGCAGTATACTTCTGCCACGTCGTCATCCTCGCTCTGGAATTCACTGGACGCCACATTTCATTTAAGCGCGCCGTTCCCCGCGAATGCTCGGTACGAGCTCCCATTCACGGGGTGCTGAGACCGGCAATCTCGATGGTGCGGAATGCACGACGTAAAAGAGTTGAGGAAACTCGCCGTCAGCACGCGCTCAGCAGCCGCGCACGCGGCAATGGCCGCCAGTGAATATTCCCGATTGAGACATTATCGTCGACGCTGTCGGCGAACGAACGCTGATTACCGCTCACCGCAAAATAAATCCTTCGTCCCCTCATCAGCGTCGTTACCCTACTTCATTTCGTATCCGGGAAGTGAGCGTCACGTTCTCCTTTCCGTCTAACCGAAGCCTAACCACGCCGCCTCGACTGCGGGGGTACGCAAAGCATACCCGGCGCCGGTATGCCGCAATCGTTTCCCCGCAAAAGGGCTGGCGCGTGTTCGGCAGGAGAAGGAAAGGGAGCCTTGAGTGAAGCCTACTTAGGACCACGTGGGTGCCTCCTGCCGGCCATGTTGGCCAAGGCTCAGTCTTCCATCCATTACCGGTCGGCTTCAGCGGCTCCCAGCCGGCGAGGACGCAGAGGAGACGCGGGCGCCTTTTTTTACGGCGAGGTGCTCCGCGATCCTTCGCCGATTACGACGTTATATACGGTTCCGCGAAAGTTCCAGCTCAGCCCATAAAGATTTTGATGTACAGGTGCTAACTACACGAGAATGAACGCTCCTGAATGTAGCCTGCGATCGTATATCTGTCGGGTGCAGTGCCACTGCCTGCGTTTTGCATGAAGTTGAATAGCCTTTACCGTCTCTCTGTAAAGCGGGGTTTGTGAATGTCTCAGTTTTTTTTTGACAGAGCGTCTAAAGCTTGCCATGATCCGCTCTCGGAAGGCGTTGAGAAGGATGCTCATGAACAATCGTTGGAACGATTGTCGGCATGAACGTATCGTTTTTAAAGCGCTCCAGAAGGAGATACCGTACATCAGGATAAACTTTAAGTGCGTGCGTGCGTGTGCGTGATCATTTGCTCTTATTCTAAATTTCTGTATTCATCTCTACCCTTTTCTACAAAGTAGCCAGTCAGAGAACGAGCTCCGGCTTACCTCTCCATGTTTCAATAAAAATATCTAATATATACAGTAGCGCACAAAAGTACCGGATGAAACACTTTTTCGACCATAAAATTTTTCTATATACTGGACCAAATGGGCTCATGCTTCTGATATGTGTTTATGCGCGAATTACATACAATGCCGCGTAGGTTGTACTGTGTTCAGAACAATGTCGTCGCTCAATATTTGTCATATTTCGTAATCATCGGTTTATTTTTTTTTTTTTTTTTTTTTTTTTCACGCGTCGATATTATTGCGCCTGCGAGCACAAAGCTAGATTAACACAGTATAAACCTTCGCTAAAATCGCCTTCTGCGCGCTGCCATCTTTGTCTGCTGGACTGTGGAACGCCTTCTGAGCATGCGCTGTTGCTCTGCTGCGCGGTATATCGAACGCTGCGTGCACAGCTCAGTGACTCAGCATTTTTCGCCCGGATGATAAGCGATGGAAAGGTCTATAGTATATACGGTCAACCACTGCGAAACATTTTTCCGTGGCTCATGTGATTTTGGTGATGTTGTGCGAAAGTAATCATAATACAGCCATGCCTCGTTAATATGAACTTCGTTAATATGGATGCCCCTCTATATGAACACCATTTCCAAAAACAAACTGGGAAAATACATCCATTTGTGTTCCGCACAAACGCAGTCTGAGTTGTGACATTAAGCAATGCAAGCGTGACGTTTTGCATAGCTTAATGTCACAACTCGGACTGCGTTTTCTGGTCTAAGCATATGTTTCGGCATCGTCATTCGCTGAGCTTCCTCCTTAAGGGGTATTCACACGAGGGAGAAATCCCGGGGATTTCTCCCCGGCACGCCCGCATCACGAGTTGGAAACGCGAGGCTTTTGCACATCGCAAAGCCTGTCGTTTTCGTCGTGGGATGCGCGTGCCGGGGAGAAATCCCCGGGATTTCTCCCTCGTGTGAATACCCCTTTAAAGGGACCATGAAGGCAATTTTTTTTTTTTTTTTTTAAAATAAGGTGTTTTCGGGAGCATTGGGGTCCTGGCATGCCACACAATTTTTTCTAGAACGTTGTGTCTCTTATTTCTGTACCTGCAAATAAATTTGCGAAACCGAAACAAACATTCAGATTTCTTCCCTTTTTCACCTCTGGAAAGAGAAGTGACGTCAGGGAGCACTGTCGGCATCGGTAGGATTTAGTGCACACTCAGTGTGGTTCCCGTGATTCGCTCTAGTGTACGGCGGTCTGTGAAAAAAACCTGGAAGAAATGGACGACAACGCCGCTCTCGCAAACGAGTTTGAGCTCCCGTTCAGCGACCTCACGCCGACTGAACGGGAGATGCTGCTAAGGACACAGAACTCTGGGTTGGCGCTTTACGAGGGCGCCCCAGACCTACCTGACACCGCTGTCCACAGCTCTACGCAAGACGACGGCGCGCAACCAAATGATGCGCATTGCTGCATCGGTCGGCAGTTTATGTTAACTAACGTCGCCCGATCGACCGCACGTCTTTAGCCGACCTTTCGCGCAACCTACTACTGCACATAAACGCGGCATGATTGATGAGACACCAGTTCTATCGTCTATCGTTTGAACCAATCGCCAGACGAGGAGCCCGTTGTCGTCACGCTTCGGCGCACTTTAGTTCACCTTTCTGCCGCCGCCTCGGTAGGGTCTCAGGCATCGTTCCCGGCGCTATTATTACCGCGCCTGTTTGCTCAATTGGTGCGGCACCCAAACTTCTTTTCGGGCTAGAACCTGGTCAACAGTATCTGAGACGTGCCTGACATCCATTTCAATCGTCGAACAAAACTTCGAAACTGCCTTCATCGTCCCTTTAAGTTGCTGTGATTGGCTGTCCGAGTGTGGTGCGGGAAAGTGAACGCACGGGCTTTTTTTTAGAGTGCATAGTATCCTTAGCTTCCAGTACTGTGGAAGGTGTCGCCCGGCAAGCGTGCACGCCGCCCCTTCCATTTAGAATCGTTCAGTAAACAAAGCCGCGAATTCACACTCTTAATAGATGTACAAAAGACAATGTGCAGAAACACTGTCTCAGGCGTGTCTATATGACGGTCCTGTCCATGTAAAAAACAAAAACAGTCTACAGACATGTTCAAAGCCCGTGTGAAGCAGACATTCTTCGAACATACTTGAGGCATGTACGCAGAGGATGCCGTCATCGTGTTTGCAGCGAACAGCCTGTCTTTTGTATGATGATGTATGAGCAGTGCGACTGGAGTGTTAGGCTGACCCCCGAGTGTTCCTCTCTGCTCACAGGTCTCGATGGCCGGCAGCCCCAGCTCGAGATGAGGATCGCGGTAGATGAGGCGATGGGGAGCCGGACGACCTGGTGCGGCCGTCGCCCGGGCAACTGACCGACGCCCCGCGCACTCCGCAACGGAGCCATGGCCGCCACGTCTTCGTTGCCCAGGCTCCGATTCCCGCTTGTACGGCACGCGCCCCAGCTGGCGCTGCTCTGGTGGGCCCTGCTTTGCACCGCAGGACCTGCGACATCGGCCTACGTCACGGTCTCGGAAAAGGGTGAGTCGCTTCCGTCGACGACGACTGGGGGGATCTCTGAACCTCCACGTGGTCGGACTAGAGTGCCTTCATGTTCGCTTCATCAGGGCAAGAGGACCAGAGCTCGCTGTGACGTACGCCGTACTTAGGATGACGCGCTCCTATAGCTTTTCCGGCCTTTTCTTCGGATCGCCTGTTGCAACATAGGAACTGCAGGAAAAACGCCACCCACTCACACACACGCAAAAAAAAAAAAAACCGCTCCGTTGGATATTTAATTTGTGAACGCCAATTAAATAATAATAATAATAAAACGTTACCGAACGGTTTGCTGTGTGGAGGGGGGATTTCTGAGGTCCTCCCTCCACGGAGTGAGTAAAGGTCATATACTTCATTTTTTCGTACGCGCCATCTGTCGCTTCACTGGGACTCACGCAGCGAGGGCTGGCATCTATCTTTCGGATGCCCCCAACGTGTGCGAAAGAGACTCCGTGCGCTTGTTGATCGGTTTTCTCTTCTCCCATCCCCCATGGGAAAATAAAAGAGGTCTAACGGTGGTCCGTTAGACCGCTGAAACTGGCCCGGCCACTGGTAACTTTCCCCTTCTTGTGCTCACAAGGAAGGCCTCACGTGTAACTTGCCCGAGGACTCAATGTTTATGTCCGGTCTAATAATGCCTCGTCCCATTTTCGCGTTCAAAAGAAAAGTGAACGTGTTATTTATTCCCCGCGGAGAGGGGGCGTGAGAATGTTCCCCTCAACTGAGCAGGCTGCGCAGCGGGATTAGATGAAGCCACTTTCGTTGCACCTCTCTGAAGCGCGTCGAGAACAATAGCCGAAGGGACCTTTAACTCGCTCCTCCCTAATTCGAGCGAAAGTGGGGGCGTTGCATTCAAGAGCGGACCCTGCAGACCCGGCCAGCGCGTGCCTGTGTGAGCCACGCGCTCTCAGCACGGGCATTGTTGCGACAGGCAATTAGTGTCTCGTTTCTCTGGAGCGAATTGGAACTCGTTTTGAAGTCTCGCCGCCCACGCCGCTTCCGCGCGAACTCGAGGAAGACTTCGGGCGTGAAATCGGACCGCCCGTCACGCAAGGTGCCTGGCTCTTCGGCCGCAATTACCGGCTCATCAAATCGGTCCGAATTTCGAGGCGGCTTTTGAGAGGGCCGCCTTCCTGAAAGTCGCTGCAGGATTCGCGCCAGAGCAGTTACACGTGTAAAGGGCGTCCATATCACATGAGCGAATGACGTTTTAGCGAACAGCGCCATTTGAGCGAATCGACGTTTTAGCGAATAACGCGGGGCGCCTGATAAAGGGATGCTGAACCAAAAGTTTGAGCTCACAAAACAAGGCTGGACGGATAGGCGGGACACTGGAAAACCTCAAAACATGACTCATACAGCGGTATCTCTAACGGATCGCCGTATTTGTGGTAAAGAAGTGCGCGATTGAACGCGGCCGACAGACATGGGACGTCACGACTCTCATTCTCTCTCCTCCTCGCTACGTCCCGTCGAGCTGGTGAACCAAAGCGAGAAGGAGAGAAGTGAGGCCGCTTCCCCTCATTCTCAAATTTTCCAGGAGGACAATGACGTCATAGCCCTCGCTTGATCGCACCCTTCTTTTCTAAAAGTACGGCCATTCGTTAGAGATATCGATAGTGGTGTTTTGGAGTTCGCAGCGTCCCGTTCAACGCTTCTGCGACCTTATTTTACGAAATCCAAATTTCGGTTCAATTTCTCTTTAACCCATCCCCCCAGCTGCGTTCACGCCGCTTCGCAGCGGCAGTCTGCGACGGCTCATTACAATAATGTTAATCCACAATTGGCCCACCCGTAAACGACGCTTCGCGGCGGACTACCGTTCGCTAAAGTGTCATTCGACGAAAAGTCCGCGTTCGCTGAAACGTCGTTCGACCAACTGGGTGCCACTTATTTCCAATGGCGCCAACACGAGGAAAACTTTCTGTAGCATTTCTGATGAGAGAAGTTCACGTGTACACAGCTCTAACCGGCGCTCAAGCGCGCGCTCCCGTACCTTTATTGCAGAGCCACAGAAAGTTCTCTCCGACTGTATGGAAAAGACCGCCAAAGTCAAGCCCGAACCCAAGTTTTAATGCAACATATTTCTTCTGCACTTCCTTTTCCCCTCGTGTTAAGGGGATGGTGAGCCAAAATTCGGATTTCCAAAAATCAATGCAGGAGATGTAGGAGGGACGCTACATTCCCTACAACACTACTCGTAAGGCGATGTCTCGAATGGACGGCCGTATTTTTGGGAAAAGAGGTCGAGATTAAACCAGGCCGACGAGGCGCGTGACCGTAAAGATACCTACTTTCCTGCTCTATTCGCTTCGCTCCCTCAAAGCGGCGAGGCGGAGAAGATGCGAGGCCGTTCCCTCTCCTTCTCGAAGAAATATGACGTGAACGTTCCCGTCATATGCGCCTCCTTTTTTTGAAAAATACGGTCATCCGTTCGAGATATCGCTGTATGAGTGATGTGTTGGTGTTTATAGCATCCCGTTGCACGCTTTTGCCGCGTGTTCTGGGGAATCCAGATTTCGGTTCAGCATCCCTGCAATCGGTGCAATCGGAGCAACAGGACCTGTCCACTCCGATTGCACCCCCCTCCCCCCCCAGCCTTGGGGTTATGGTGTCCTTGTGCGTAACATTGTGTTTCATCTTCATACTAAAGACTTTCCTTTCTCACACCTCCCGGGAAACTCTCCAGCCTTAGAAAAGTTCTCGGGGGAAAGGAAGGCTGAGGAGGAGGAAGCAGACGGAACGCTGAAAGAGGAGGAGGTATCCCTCCCTCTTCTCCAGCATTCCGTTTGCTTCCTCCTCCCCAGCCCTCCTTTCCCTCGAATACTTTTCATAACCCGTGGCCAATCCCTCCTCGTCTGGTCTCGCCTCCTCTCCGGCGTTCGCTCTGGTAAAGGGGAGAGAGTGGAGGGCTTTGCCGGAAAGCTTGTCTTGTTTTTCTTACTCCTCTATCGGGTGAAAACTAGCGCGTTTCGCAAACTTTTTAAGGCGTAAATTCGGCTAAAGCATGCGTCCCTTTTGGTAAGAATCGAAAATGAAAATATATAATTGTAATAAAGAGGAACACTACTATATATACTGTATACATATTTCGGCTTGATGTGGTGAAGTTTCAAGTTTTACAAAAATTATGTTTTCTGGGAAAAAAGGAATTGACAGCGTGTTTTTTTTTTTTAAAGGCACCAACTTTTTTTTTTTTTTTTTATTACGTGTGTGTTTTGTGTTAAAAGACCGCGAAACATTTGGGGCAAACAGTGCTTCCTCCGGTCCTGAGATAAAACAAGTTCCCTTTACTTCCTCTCCATAGATTTAGACGGCAAGATGGAACGGTTCAGTCACGGAGACACCGCACACTTCACGAAACTCCTGTTCGACATCAACAGGTACCAGCTTATCGTAGGAGCACGGTAAGAATTTATTTATTCATTTACCAAACAATCGGAGACGGTATTTGAAAAAGAATGCAAGATTGTTTCTTTATCGTACATTATTTAATTTCCTTATCAATAATCAAACCGCGTAAGAAAGGCCATGCCATCGTTAGTGGATCCCCCTACTCGCCCCGCGGAAGGATCCAAGGGGGGGGGGGGGGGGGGGCGCGGCCGCCCCCTGCCTCGAAACAAAGTCGATCCCCCCGCCCTCCCCCCTTCTCGGAGGGCAATTTGACATGGGTGGGCCCTCCGGGGCACAAGAAAGAATGGGAGAATAGTATCCTTACAAATTTTTCCGCCCGCCCCCCAAAACGGAGCTCTGGATCCGCCCCTGCTAAAGCTCGACGAAATCAGAGTCTGGCAGACCCAAAGCGACACAGAGAAGTAATATTGGCACCTTGGCGCCACCGGTCGCCAACGTGCGCTCGTTTTGTCCTGCTTGACGTTGGGGTTTTAGCGGTTTTAGCTGCAGGCACTTGGCCAATTTGGCTCATACATGTGCCGCAGGATGGTAACCGGAACCGCTAGCCATAGATGAGGGAACAAAATACCTAAAAGAACACGAGAAAGATGTACTAAAGAAAGCGTAAAGAAACTCGGCAATTATGAAACAGAGAGCGCTGTGGAATTTTAATAGATATGAAGTAGTAAGGGATATATGGAAAGGAGTTAGGGTTCCGGGACTGTCGTTCGGTAAGGCGGTACTGTGCATGAGAGCTGAGGTTCAATCAAGTTTAGAAATCCGACAAAGAAGTGTGGGTAGGGTGGCACTAGGAGCGCAGGGGGGCACACCGAATTGGGGGGGGGGGGCACACCGAATGGGGGGCACAGGGGGATATGGGCTGGTCATCATTTGAGGCTAGGGAACCTATCAGCAAACTGAAATTCGAGCAAATGCTAGATGAAATGGAGGGTACGCGTTGGGTGGGGAACGTGTACAAGTATTTATATATGAAGAGCTTGAACACAAAGTGGACAAATCGAACGCGAAAACTTAAATTTAAATACCTACAAACTAATGATGGGGGCGAGCAAGACACCACAGGCGTAAAGGAGACCGAGGGGAAAATGTGGAAGGGGAGGATGATGACAAAATCGGCTCTAACGTTATACACATCGCATAAACATGAAATAAGAAAAGAGAATATATTTGATAACTCGCGGGAGCGCTTTGTTGTCTGAGGCAAGGATAGGAGTTCTGAGAACTAAGAAACATTGGGCAGAATTTTCTGATAACACATTATGTACGGTATGCCATAGCGAGGACGAGATAATGGAACATTTGGTTATAAATTGTGCGGGGCTTCACCCCACCCACGTGGAGGGAACAGATTTTGCGGGAGTACTGGGTCTGGTGGATGGCGATGGAGGAATGGACGAAAAGATTATTACAATAACAAAGAGGAGGTTTGAAGATTGGTGGTATAGGTCTAGAGACATCACCACGGCGTCGATTCTTGATCGGTATTCAAGTGTGCGAAGGCTCAGAGACATGGCACTTCGGCGCGCCAAGGAAGCTTTGAACACGCCGCGAGACCGGCGAAACTTGCTTTCGACGAGTTGTGCCTTTTTCTTACGGCACTGCGCTTTCGTAAAAATTTCCACATGTTCTTGACGGCAATGTATCACTGCTCACACGGGGTTTTACAAACGTCTTCGGCGAGTGACGACGAACGAGTAGAGAACGTGTCTTTAGCATGCTGCCGCCGGCCTCTGCAACGCTAGCAAAACGAAAAAAAAAAAAAAAATGCATGCCCAGAGGCCGCACTCGCGCTGCAGCGAACAAGCGGGGATTAGGGATGCCCGACGGAGGCGCCATCTACGCAATGCAACATGAAACTTACCTTGAGTTGGAAAAGGCCTATGATGCAGTGCCCCATGAGAAGATGTGGACGAAGTTAGAAGCGATGGCACTGGATGTTCAGACAGTATCGCTCTTCAGAAACATGTACGCCGGATGCAACGCCAGATACAGTTTGGGAGAACATTTATCAGGGCAGGTGAACATGATTGTGGGTCTGCGCCAAGGCTGCCCCCTTTCTCCAACCCTGTTCAACATCTACATCAACAATCTCATTCTGGAGCTGCAAGCCAAAGGGCAGGGTGTTTCTTTCACAACCATTACCTCCAGTAATGACATGGAAACAACTTATATTCCAGTACTGGCCTTTGCTGATGATATACTCCTGTTATCAGAGAATGAAGCTCACCTTCAAGACATGCTCGATATCTGCACTCGAATTGGGAATGAAGAGGGATTCAAATTCAGTAAGGAAAAATCAAAGTGGATGGGCTATAATGTTCACGAGCTTAACCACAAGTTTAGAGTACAGGAGGTGGAAGTAGAACATACCAAGGAATGCAGGTATCTGGGAGTGACTCTTCAAGAAGGCCCGCTGTACTTAGAACTACACGAGAGGAACACCCTAAAAACCTCCAACATCCGAAAAGGTCACCTGTGGAACATGGCAAAGTATTCCTATAACCCATACACCCTTGCGAGGGCACTGTGGAAGAGTGTCGCAGTACCGGCGATCACCTATGCTAACGATGCAGTGGTCTTCCAACAGACCACCCTGAAGACACTGGATCGCCATCAAGTGGAAATCGGGAGGTGGGCACTGGGCGGAAACGGGGCAACTGCAAACCATAGGTCGGCATTTTAGAGCCCCTTCCTTCACCATCACATCACGAACAAAATCACGTCTCCAAATTCATTCGCATTCACGTCACAAGGTACTCTGACCTCCCAAATTCGTAGCCCTTCACATCGCGGCGTTGAACCGCGCCGAACCTTCATCCCCTTCACATCACGGCTTTCAAACTCCGCCGAGAATTCATCCCCTTCACATCATGTCGTTCAACCGTGCCAAGAATTCATCCCCATCACATCACCGCCGCCTCCAAGTTCACTGAATCATTCACCATCACATCACCAATTCACGAAGTCATTCACCATCACCCTGAATTCATCAGAATTCACCATCGTGAATTCACCATCACATCATGAATTAGTCCGAATTCACCATCACTTCACGAAGTCATCTGAATTCACCATCACTTCACGAAGTTATTCACCATCACGGTCGACACGAATTCACCGGAATTCACCATCACATCATGAATTCCGCATGACTCATGAAGTCATTCAGGTTCATCCTGACTAAATTTGACTTCACGGCTGGTAGCCCTTCACGAGTTCGCACTTCTCGTGGAATAGGACTGTGGCGCCATTTTGTGTCAGCCACTTAAAACCAGGATCTGACTCGACAAAGGGCCACCGCGCTGAGGCGCGCACGGCTACGCAGCGAGGCTGATGCCCAAACCGCTAAAGTCAAATGGGTCCCTGTCGTTTGCGGTGAAGGATGAAAACAACCAGCAAGCAAGCAAGCGCCTGCGTAACATGTTTTCCGCCTATTCTGAATTCATAACCGTACTCACTTTCACGTCGAGAATTAAGTTTACGGTATTACTTCCCATCACAAACTTGTCAAGTTCAAGAGCCACTCACATCATAGATTCATCGTGTTCACCAGCCATTCACCATCACGTCACAAACTCATTGAGTCATTCACATCACAATGAATTCTTCACTTCACGAAGTCATTCACAATCACAACTCATCATGAGTTCATTCAAATTCACGAAGTCATTCACCATCACATCACGACTTCATTCAAAACCACATTAGGAATTCATTCAAATTCACGAAGTCATTCACCATCACATCACGACTTCACGACTTCATTCACCATCACATCACAAATTCATTCAAATTCACGAAGTCGTTCACCATCAAATCACGAATTCATTCAAAGTCACAAAGTCATTCACCATCACATCATGATTTTTTTCAATTTCAAGAATTCATTCAGGGCCATTCAGATTCACGCCGTGAATGTGAATGAAGGTGAATGAGCGAGTTCATGAATGAATTTGCCGAGGTATGCTGCAAACCTGGCCGTCACTGGAGAGATGGCCTGGTCGACTTTCAAGCAACGGGATGCAAGGGCCAAGCTCGGATACCTCGGGCGCCTGATTCACATGCCAGAGGAAGCGTACGCCAAAAGGACATTCCACTACGTTAGATACCGCAGCAGCAGGACGAACTGGTCAAGCACCATCGCCAGGCTCGACTCTGTGTACAGCAAAGGGACAAGGCGACATGAGGCCACATCGGAGAAAGGATGGCTCAAGGCTGTGACAGAGGAGGTGAACGCGATTGAACTTGAGGCCTGGAGACAAGCGGTGAGGAAAAAGCAGAGCCTCCAGAGCATCTACGCGCTCCACAAGCCTGAGCCGTCTCCCTGCACACACTATCGAGGGGACCATGAAAGTGCGCTACTGTTCCAGGCACGGGTAGGAGCGCTGATGACAGGCTGCCGACGTGCCCAACTCTTCGGAGACACCGACACAGCCTGTCATCTGTGCGGGCAGTCAAGCGAGGATGTCCTCCACGTGCTGCTGTGGTGCCCTGCCCTAGACCACTGTCGACCGCCCTGGGCGACCAGCGAAGAGAGGATTCCCGAAATGCTGGGATTCGGGGAAGGAGCCCACGGTTCACTAGCCACCAGGCGCATTCTCGTTGAATGGGAGAGACTACGTCTGATCGATAACCAGTGAAAGTGTGCCAAAAGTGGGAAAAGCTAAAACAAAACAAGAACTAAAACTTTTACCTGTGTCGGCAATTTGAACTTTTGCTGACCTCAAAAGGGGTTAGGTACCGCCAACTAACTAACTAACTAAACTACAACCACTACAGCGATGTCTCTTTCACGTGATCCTGTTCTTCCAATCACAACTCGCATCACTTGAGTTTCTCGTTTTCACTTCCTCTCCTCCCCCCTCAACCTTCACTACAACCTTGACTACAACGCGATTTTTTCTATGACTACAACGCCGCCAACGCCGACCACGACCACTCCCGGAGGGTAAAGCAGGGCGAGTTTCAGCGGCGCCTCGTGGCGGGGCCTGGA